GAATGCCCCCATCAAAATGAGCTGCGCCAGAACCCAATTTCGTACAAAAATCTGGTATATGAGTGGGTCACTGAGAATTCCATATCCCGAATCGCTTAATTTTTTGACGGCTTTTGTAGAAAAAGCTCTGAAAAATTCCCTTCTTATCCAGTTTCCTAAGGCACTAAATTTTCGGAAGTGAAGACTAATTATTAGGCAAAAATGAAGCAAAAAAGGGGAACCTAAAGCAACAGACAAGACATCAACAGACATCCGCGGGCTGCGGATGCTGCGGCGCTTGGAGGAGAGGGAAGTGGGGGACTTAGTTTGGCGCAGCCCTAGCCCGCTTCCCACCAATTTTTGTGCTTTGTTTGGTGGATACGGGTAGGGGTTGCGCCAAACCCAGCCCCCTGACACGCCCCCGCATCAGCTGTGAACAAGACTGCAGCTGAAAACTGAACATCAGTGAAGCGAAACAACGTTCGAGAAAGCCGAAAAATCTTCACCTTCAACTTCCGCACCAAGCCGATAGAAATGGTCTTTTATAGCAACTGTCACTTTGCCAAAGCTCAAAAAAGCTACATTCTAACATAAAGGCATCCTAACACATCTCTACATTCCAGATCAGATTCGAAGCTTCATAGTTCCACATCTCCAGCTGGAGCGAAGTTTTTCTCTTAAAAATAAGGCACCTGCTGCTTTCCGGCCCTGCTATTTTCAAAGGTTTAGTCAGGAATATTTGGTAAAATCTAAGAGGTATCAAGAATATAGTACATAATAGCGCGCTCACACTTCTTGATCCGATTGATTGAATCACGCAACCGATCCGATAGGTGGAATGGCAGCCTCGTGCGAGTGGGTGCGGATCGCCAAGTATGAAGGCGCTCCAATACGCCTGCCATGAGCGGCGTGAAAATAAACATATTTCTCAATTGTTGAGAGGATTAATTTTAGGGGACTTAATGGTCAGAGGTATGAGCCACGGCGATATGATGTTCGGCTGGACTCAAAGACTCATCGCACTGGATCTCGAAGGATGGTGGCAATTAATGGGACAATGAACGAGGACACGCTTTTAGCAAAAGAAGCATCAAACGGTCCCACCAACACCCTCCCGATCATGTTTGTTCCGATAGCGGTCTGTCATATACTAGCAGTCATAAAGGAGCTTTCTCGAAGAAGGCTAATGCCGTTTGGACGCCCTGAGCTTTAGATGCTGGCTCATTTATGGAGCGCCTAGATACCAAATCCGTAGAAAACTTGTATACAGGGAGTACTTAACATCCTGATTACGAATATGACATTCATTCTTGGCGCTGGCGCTAATGGATGACACTACGATTATCTGCGCTCTGCTAAGGCTGAGCCCAGGAGGTAATCGTAGTGTCCTTCATTAGCGCCAGCGCCAAGAATGAATGTCATACTCGTAATCAGGATGTTGAATGACTCCTGTATACACGTTTCCAGCGGATTTAGTGATCTAGGCCACAAAGAAG